GTGTGTGTGTGTGTGTGTGTGTGTGTGTGTGTGTGTGTTTGTATATGCTAAGTTTATCAGGCAATTTTGAGCCACTGTACCTGGGTGGGTGTTAGTAACAGAACTCAGGCACTCCACCGGAATGGAAAACACTGTTAACTATTTGGTCCTGTTTTCAGATACCACATTTTAATTTTAAATTAAATTAAATGCAAGAGAAAAAAATTCTTCAATATTATATACATATTAAAACTGTAAAATATGCTGTCCTTTTGTCTACATTAGCCAGGATTTGATTAAGAGCTAGTGATTTATTAAAATAGATAAAAATTATTGTAAAATGAGTAAAGAATCACTTAGGGAAAGTCTTCTGGCATCTCTTTGCAACTGCATACCTCACCAGAATGTCCCGTATCAGAACTGCTCTGCTTCTATTTGATCAATAATATGAGCTTTTACAGGGTTTTTGAGTTTGGTAATTAATATCATATTATATTTGATCACCTATAAAAGACAACTCTCACTTTGTAATTCAGGGACATACAATATATTTAAATACTTGTGAAATTTTGTTCACTGAGATACAGATAAGAAACATAACTTACCCAAAGTTTCACTGTAAAACTGATCCCATTTCTTTTTATTAAATGACTGGAACCAAAAGTCAAAATAAAGCATACATATCATATTTCTTACCCTCTCCATGAATGTCATTTTACCCCCTAATCCTGATAAAATTATAGGTACATAAGAGGGAGGGACTAGCAATCCTCCACTGTACTTTTCCATTGTATAGCCAGGAGAAAAGCGAAGACTGTATAGAAAAGGGATCTGGAGCAGTTCAGCTATCAACTCCCCACAGGGAGCAATGGCATCCGATAAAAGGACATCAAACTTGGATTTCTGTAGTTTTTTCATCAGTTGTTTGTTTGAAACTGTGTCTTTACAAAGACTTAGATAACTGTCAGAATATCTCTCACACACATTCTGTAGCAAAGGAGAGTATGATAAACATGAATCTCTTGGTATCTCATAAATCCATTTATTCACAAGCGATAGGAAAACCTCATCCAGATCATCTTTACTGAGAGATGTAGGAAAACTCTCAAACTTCAGGTCAGGTGACTTTTGGGGATCAAGAAAGATGGAAGCTGAAGGTCTCAGAACTGTTACTTCATGACCCCTCTGTGCAAGTTCATCCAGTATAATCTTTAGATTCAGCCAGTGACTGTATTCCATTGGCCACACCAACAACTTTACAACTTTCCCAGATCTGAAGCAGCAAGTCATCTGCAGCAGGAGCAGCAGAAGAGGCATCCACTTCACAGGCATCCTGGAAAATCAAAGTCCTCTGTTCACAGTGTGTTCCCTTCTGTCATGGCTTATCCTGATATCTAAGAAGAAAAAAAAGCATGAGTTAAAATATAACCTGAGTTAGTCAAAGCAAATACACTAAATGACCACATTGAACTTGTGAGCTGAATGGAGATAGTAAAAGCAAATATTAATTATTTCATATTGCATAGAGGTGTTCAATGTCACATACTTTGTAATGAAGCAAATTTAGGAGTCAATGACCTGTTTGCATAACTCTTCTGTTTCTAAGATATTTGGATAGTAGCAAGAACACTGGTTAGCAAGAGGTTTGTCTGAAATTTCTTCTCAACACAGAACCCAAAATGTAATAATTGCATAGCTTGTTAAGTTTTTTATGGATATCAATATCCAGAATTTTTGTAAGAATGTTGCCTAACATATCCACTTACATATGATTTCTAAAATAGTTTAACAGTGTGCCTAACTTACCTGACTGACAGAAACCTTGGGGGGCAGATAGGCAATTGCCTCCTCTTACACATGTCCCTTGGGAGACTGTTGAACACACTGGCCTGAATGATGTCATCAGCTAAGGCAGCCAGTTGGTTCAACTAACCTGTCCACTGGCATGTCATAAACACAATAAATAGTTGAATATCTTGTTATCAGAATCTTAGTCCACAAAGGCCCTGAGAAGTAGGTGAGTACATGCATCTATGTTCCCTCCTCTCATGGAAACACCATGTCCACCATTCCTGAAGTCACTAATCTCTGTAAGATTGCCCATGCAGGTGTTGAATATGGACATGTGATCTGCCTGTATCTTCTTGTGTGCCCTGAAATTCTGCTGAAGCTAAAAATTATCAAAGCTCTCTAAGAGGCATCATCCAGAGCAATTCTTTCATTAAAAAAGCCAATGTCTCATCACATTTACCAAGTCCTTCATCAAAACCAAATTCTGTTATTATAAATATATTTTGTCCCATGATTTGAAGGGGTAGTATCCATCATTGCAAGCAAGGTCTATAGTGGTTTATGTGATGGGACTATGTGGCAGGGATACCCTCACATCATGGAGAACTGAGAAGTTAATTCTTTCTGGAAATTCCCTTATGGATAAACCCAAATATTTCCTTCTATTGTGTTTTTACAAGGTAACAACAATGAGAAAACCACAACTCATAAAAATGAATAATAAAAAAGAAGAAAGAACAATTTATGCTCAATAAATAGAATTAATGAAATGACACTAGGTTTTATTTAATTATAAATAACATGCTTGGATGTTAAGTATAAATTGAGTTCTTAATATGTCTAAGTAATAAAAACCTGGAGTCAGATATAGAGGAAAATGCTGATAGATCAGAAAGAATGAGCAAACCACCACCACACCATACCTCCTTACTGTTTCAGCATACAAGCAAGCGAGTTCTTGTTTCTGCCTGCTTATATTCTGTTTCTAACCAGCTACCTCATTTCCTGTTTATCTGTACAGACCTCAGACCTCTATGGTTACTTAGTGGCAAGCTCCATTCTCTGATCCTCAGATTGGGTTTATTTGTACAAGCAAGAAATCACCACATATCCCACTTTTTTGTCTAATTTTTTTTAAAAAAGTTAATGACTACTATAAGACAAAGTATATACAATAAGTGCAATAAATGTATCCAATATATACAGGCACTAAGTACATTAACAGTGTCTAGTCCATTAGCATTAGGCAATTCAAAGGAAATACTTCATTATTAATTCTTGCTTGATGAGTCCAAGTCTTGAAGCTAATTTACTTTTTATTCTAATTTGCAATATCAAACTATCCTTTAGTATCTTTAAAGGCTATTGCACTTAACAAATATTTAGTAAGTTTCTTTCCTGAGTCTGGTAAACAAGGAAAACTGTAACTATTACTATCTAGTCTTCAACTCCCTCAGAGACCTGAGAGGGAAATAATATTAACTGAGTAAACAGAAAGTGTGAGGAAGAGACTTCCAAAAATTATGAGAAATGACAGAAAAAGCTTGCTGCCTGGACAGTCCCCCAAGATTGCTCAGTAACATGGGGCATCCATCTTCAGCCTTTAGATCTGGCATATCAGAGAGACATTTCTGTGAACCAGGGTAATCTGACATACTGGACTACTTTGTCTAGCCAGATGTTTACAGTCACTCATTTTAATAACACATTTGTCCAATTTGTACAGCATAATGTCATCAGTTGAAGCAAGTGCACTTTCTTGCACTGTAGCTTACCTTTGCAACAAAGAAAGTAAACTCCATGTGGAGTCTTTGATGTCCATCAACTTATCTAACAATAATGCATGCTGCAAGAAGCAGACATGTGTCATTGTCATTAAAACTCTGTTATTGAAACATGTTAAATGCCATATTATGTAGATCTCTGAAGTGTTTTAAAGAAGTTCTATCTTTCTAAAATACCTATTTGACCTTGTAAGCACACCTACGGTGACTACAAGTTTGATTGTAACAGTTCACTATTTACTAAACTACATTTCCTTATTATCTCAATAGTCAATAATAAACTTTCAAGGACTAGAGATTTGTATAATATTGTAAAATGAGCTGTATAGGTACAATGCCTTGAACAATATTAGAAACAAACATATGTACAGTATGTTACATATAAATCTTGAGAGTCAATAGATAGGATAAATGATAGAATATTTTCTTTAAATTTTGTTAAATGTTAATGAACTATATATCATAACTATAACTCTTTCTTGTTAACTTTTGTTATATATAATTTTACTATGTTAAAGATAAAACATTCCTTTTTATTGAGACAGAAAAGAGGAGATGGTAGGGAGTTCCTTATTGTGTGAATATATGTTTCTCTTATTGGTTAATGAATAATACACTCATTGTCCAGTAGCTAGGAACGAAGTTATGTGTGGCTACCAGGCAAGGAGAATTCTGGGAAGAGGGAGGCAGAGAGGAGCTGCCAGAGAGATGCCATGTAGCCACTGAAGGAGTAACAGGTCCAGGCATTCTCTGGTAAGCCAAGACCACATGAAAATACTTAGATTAGTAGAAATGGGTTAATAATTAAGAGGGAAGTAGCCAGTAAGAAGCCTGAGCCATTGGCCATACAGTTTATAATTAATATGAACCTCAGTGTGTTCATTTGGGACTGAATGGTAGAGGGACCAGAAAGGACAGAAACTCAGTCTATGGCTAACAGGTCAAATTCCTTAATTCAAATATGAAGACTTGTTGCAACAAACATATGAACATGACATTACTCTCTGAGTCTCAAACTGCTGCCTCTTCTCAGTATGGGTGGAAAAGGAACACCACCCTGAGACCTTGCTTCTGCCTTATATACTTCCCTAAGTGTTGGGATTGAAGGTATGAGCTGTAATTCTCTTTTAGGGTGATTCACTCTTGTGGAGTTCTGGGTGGCCTTGGACTTACAGAGATCTATCTCTTAATCCTGAGTCCTAGGTTTAAAGGTATGTACCACTACCTCCTAGATTCTGGCTGCTGGGATTAAAGGTGCGCATCACCACTATTTATAGCTTGGGACTGACTAGGCTTTTCTGAATCCTTAGTCAAGATTTAATAAAACTTAAACAACATATCACTACATTTTCCATTTATGCCTAATACAAAAAGAAGGCAACAACAAACAAGAAGAACTTCTCCATCTTCACTCAATAGAGACTTAAGTCTGAGGCTAGGTGAGAGCTAATGGAGACAGAATCAGCCCATTCAGCCCGAGGTAGAGGTAAGAAGCTTAGAGGCCAGCTACTTTGATTCCCTGATCTTCAGCTGGAACCCCAACATTAGTCTCTGGGTCATTTCTTTGTTTGTGATACAATTTCCTCTATTGTTTCATCAATCCCTGAGATTCTATCTTTCATTTCTTGCCTCTGTGGTTATGCTTGCATCCGTAGTACCTGTTCATTTACCCATATTTTCAATTTCCAAAATTCCTTTGGTATGTGTTTTCATTTTTTCCCCTTTTTATTAGAAAGAAAATTATTTTACATGTCAATCACAGGTCCCTCTTCCTGCCCTCCTCCCCTGCTCCCCCCAGCTAATGCCCTACCATTTCCATACCCTTTAGGGGGGTCTTCAAAGTCTGTCATATTCTTTGGGATAGGGCCTAGACCAACCCCATTGTGTCTAGGCTCAGGGAGTATCCCTCCATGTGGGATGGGCTCCTAAAGTCCATTCCTATGGTAGTGATAAGTACTGATATACTACAAGAGGACCCATAGATTTCCAAAATCTCCTCACTGACACCCACATTCAGTGGGTCTGGATCTGTCCTATGCTGGTTTCCCAGCTATCAGTCTGGGGACCAAGAGTTTTCCCTTGTTCAGGTCAGCTGTTTCTGTTGGTTTCACCAACCTGGTATGGACCACTTTGCTCATCACTCCTACTCCTCTGCTTCTGGATTTCAGTTCAGTTCAAGGTTTAGCTATGGGTGTCTGCTTCTGCTTCCACCAGCTGCTGGATGAAAGCTATAGGATGGCATATGAATTAGTCATCAATCTCATTATCAGGAGCGGGCATTTAAGGGAGCCTCTCCTCTGTTGCTTAGATTGTTAGTTGGGGTCATCTTTGTAGCTCTACAGACATTTCCCTAGTGTCTGATTTCTCTTTGAACTTATAATGTCTCCCTTTATTATATGATCTCTTATCTTGCTCTCTTCTGTTCTTCCCCCAACTCAACATCCCTGTCCCATCATGTCTTCCTAACCCCTCCTCTTCTTCCCTTCTTATTCTCCTGGTTCCCTCTCCCCTCCCCCCATGCATCCAATTTACTCAGGATATCTTGTCCCTTTCCCATTCCCTAGGGTACCATGTATGTCTCTTTTAGGGTCCTCCTTGTTTATGAGCTTCTACAGCAGCCTGGTCTGTAAGGCTGGCAATCATTTACTCTGTGTCTAAAATCCACATAGGAGTGAGTACATACAATGACTCTCTTTTTGTGACTGGGTTAACTTGCTCAGAATGGTCTCCTCTAGTTCCATACATTTGCCTGCAAAT